AGGGAGAAAGATAAGGGCTTGTTCGGTGCTCGAGAACTTGCCGTGCACCGAACATGTTTGCGGCTAGGGCGGCCCCACCAAAACTCGCGAGAGCAGGGTACTAGTGACATTCACACATCTCCATACAGCCGAATAGTACGCAGTTACATATATGGCCTCCTACAGTAGTGGTGCTCATGTGAGCGACCGGGCGTGGTTCCTTTGTTTCAGGAGCGAGATAACCGGATCAAGACAAGGATGTAGACCGTAACTAGTGGCTGAGTTGTAGGGAAGTCGTCGTAATCTGCGATAGTGGCGGGTTGTGGTGTGTTGAGCGCTGATGCCTGGGGCGGTAATCCAACGGATCGTTCTAGCACGCTTTCCGGGGTCTTTGTCACTCAATACATTCACCAATCAAATAAATATGTCCATCGTCAGTTATTTTCCCCGCCTTTCTCGTATCTCCTTTCCCTCAATCGTACGACTCCTCATATTTTTTCTTTCTCTCTTTTATTCCGACTCATAGACAAAACATTACTTGTTAGCCCTGTCAGTTTGGCGCTCACCTTGTCTACTTCTCTGAATAGTGTTGACCCAACCCAACAGCTCCTAATCTTGTCCTCTGACTCCTTTGCCCCGACGCGCACACCCACAATCTGCCCACAATGAGGGCCTTAATTCGCCCAATTTCAATCCACGCTGCATCCTCACCCATAGAGACAATCGTGTTCTTTTTCGTTCTCGCCACACTCGCATATTTCCATGTTCTCTCTGCCATTAAACATTCTTCTTTCTTCGCCCCAACTTCGCTCCCACCTCTACGCCCGTCTCATGCACTCTGGCGCAATGGCGACTGGGCCACCGTTCAAGAGAGCGAATGGTACAGCGCTCTCACTCATCGCTCACATGTTACCGCCGTCGACCTCCAGCAATTGGTTATGTCTTTTGATGCTAGGACGGCGAAGAAGGTATACCTCAGTCACTCGTGTTTAATTTACGCGCATTAATGCCCTCGTTCAGATTTCCGAGAACTCGAGGCTTTCCTCGCAGGTTGCGAGCTCCTTGGATAATATAACACACTTCCTCACCCATAGTTTCCCTACGGCCTCTGGAAATCTATACCCGGATATCTGTTACTCTGTCTCAAGAGATCAGGATGGAGGAACAACTTGTTTCACGTCCTCTGTTTCGGATATCCCAAGATCCGAGTCACTCACTCTTTCATTCATCGCGGGTAGTCGTAAGGATTTCATCAATGCTCTTGCAGAGCAAGGCCCTCTCATTTCGGACGACTTTGGCCCAATCAAATATCTCGTTGAGAATCCAGAGCATGAGACCGTTTCGGAGATGAAGAGCGGCAAGTGGGTCGTGTATGCAGCGCGCACTTTAGTAGTCCGCTTTTGGGATCTTGCCAAGGTCAGTGCAAGCCTATTGTCCTGTATAGACCGGGTCTGACTGTGGTGTGCAGAAAGCGGATAATCTAGACATCCTGCTCGTCCTTGCCGGGTATGTGCTGATGCACACGACCTTCATTCGCCTTTTCTTGTCGTCTCGCAGTCTTGGCTCGAACTTCTGGTTGACAACTGCAATCCTGTCGTCCTCAACTCTTTCTTTCATGGTCGCCTTACCTGTTGCTAACTACCTGCTCATCCCTCTTGATCCTGTGAGCCTGATTGAGGCACTGCCCTTTCTGGTCTGCACAGTCGGTTTCGAGAAGCCCCTTCGCCTTGCTCGCGCCGTGTTCGGTCATCCCCATCTCATGCAACCCGCTATACAAGAAGGGCGTCTCCGCGGTCAGATGAAGCCAGCCCCCGACCTCATCATGGAGGCGCTCGACAAGGTCGGCAACATTATCGTTCGGGACTATGTTCTCGAGATTGCTGTACTTCTCATTGGTGCATACAGCAAAGTCGGCGGGCTCAAGGAGTTCTGTGCTCTCGCCGCTCTGTTGCTGACCGTAGACTGCGCGGCCACTGCTACGTTCTACATCGCTATTCTTAGTGTGATGATCGAGGTGCGTCCCAATCCATTTAGATATCACGTGGTACCCCGGTTCTTGGGGGTTTCCTGTCTTGTCTTGTTTCATCCCGTATTGTGCTTGACAATAACGTATCGCGTATTGTTGTAGGTGCGCCGTGTCAAGATGTTCCGTGCCTTGTCATCGCGCCGGTCCTCCATGTCAGACGTAAAGCCCCCCGTGATTGTGAACGGCCAACTCCAAATGCCAAAGCTCAGCTTACGTCAACGGACCTCGGCTGCATTGTTGGGCGTAAAGGGCTCATTACTCAAGTCGCAATCCAAGGAGAAAGACGGAAAGGAAGAGAATCCTGTTGCTCGCTTGAAGTTACTACTGGTGCGCGCGTTTTCGCTCATCTCAGTCCCGAGTTAACCAATTCCGGTAGATCGTCTCATTCCTCTCTCTCCATTTATTGAATCTCTGTGCCCCATTCACTCCTGGTGCGGCGGTGGCCCGCCTCGGGCAGGATCAAAGCTCTCTACTCGTTAGGGACGTTGTACCTGGCTTCCGCACCGTGGACATCACCAACCCTTCCATTCAGCACTCCCTCTCTCACCTTGCGGCGCTTCATGATGGATCGGAGTTAATCATTCGCGTTTCTGCGCCGGTTCACGTGCGCATGGTCCCCATCCTCTCGCCTCACCTTCACAAGGAGTCCAAGATCAAGGGCCGCGATGCGGATGACATGATCGACAACTTCATGTCCTCGTGGACTCGGCTCGTCGGCGATCCCATCCTGTCTAAATGGATCGTTCTACTTCTTGGTGTCAGTGTTGCGCTTAACGGTTACCTACTCAAGGGTATTTCCACCGGTACTGGCTCTACTCGTACTGTCCAACAGGCTCAGGGCGTCCGGTTCAACACCGACCGTGTTCAGGAGAAACAACCAGCGGTTTCCTCTACTGCCCCTGCGCCTGTCTCGACTATCCCAGAGACTCGAAAGGAGGATGTCGTAGTATATTCCACAGCGCCTGCGATCGTTCGACCCGTTCCTATTCCGGCTGTTCGGAGACCGCCTTCCGTCAATGGAATCTCGTCGCTGCTGGACTCAGTTGATCAGAGACTTAAAGCACAACATCCTACTTTTACAACAGGTGATGAATCGGATTCGCAAGACGAAGAGCCCGATAGCAAAGAGACCTCAACTCCCACACGTTCTCTTGAAGAGTGTATTGACATCTTTGAGAACGGACCTCGCCCAGTATCGGTATCACTTTCGTTACTCAATGACGAGGAAGTCATCCTTTTAGCCCAGAATGGTAAAATTCAAGCGTATGCTCTTGAGAAGGTTTTAGGCGACTTAGAACGCGCAGTTCTGATTCGAAGGGCGTTAATCTGTGCGTGTATTAAACCCCCCGCCACCAGTCCTGTAACTGATTGTACCCTGCAGCCCGTTCATCCAGGACCAAAACACTCGAGCATTCCGATATACCGATGTCACACTATGATTATTCTCGTGTCATGGGAGCCTGCTGTGAGAACGTTGTTGGCTACATTCCCATTCCCCTCGGTATCGCAGGTCCTCTCAAGATTGACGGGGAGCTGTTCCCAATTCCCATGGCGACAGCAGAAGGCACGCTCGTTGCTTCAACATCTCGTGGTTGCAAGGCCCTTAATGCTGGAGGAGGAGTCGCTACTGTTGTCACCTACGATGGCATGACTCGTGGTCCCGCAATTGACTTCCCCTCCATTGCCCTCGCAGCTGCTGCCAAGGCGTGGATCGACTCAACTGAAGGCAGCTCGATACTCAAGGAAGCTTTCGAGAGCACGTCACGCTTTGCTAAGCTACAGAGGCTTAAGACTGCCATGGCCGGTCGGACGTTGTTTGTGCGATTCGCTACGACCACCGGCGATGCAATGGGCATGAACATGATTTCAAAGGGTACCGAAAAGGCCCTTGAAGTTATGAGCAAGTATTTCCCTGAAATGATCGTTCTCGCTCTCTCCGGTAATTACTGTACGGACAAGAAGCCTGCGGCCATTAATTGGATCGAGGGACGCGGCAAGAGCGTAGTCGCAGAGGCAATCGTTCCGGGACATGTTGTTAAAACTGTGTTGAAGACTACTCCAGCAGCGCTGTGCAACCTCAACACGAAGAAAAACCTGGTTGGCAGTGCAATGGCAGGCTCGGTCGGTGGCTTCAATGCTCACGCCGCAAATATCTTGACCGCAGTCTTCCTCGCCGCTGGCCAAGACCCAGCGCAGAATGTGGAATCGTCCAATTGCATGACGTTGATGGAGTTGTGAGTCTCTTTTTTCCTATCGAAAACGGTATGCTAACGGAGAGGCTAGGACGAACGAGGGCAAAGATGTTCTTGTAACGATCACAATGCCTTGCATAGAGGTCGGTACCGTAGGCGGAGGTACTGTTCTCGCTCCACAGCAGGGAGTTTTGGAGATGCTAGGCGTCAAAGGCGCACATCCTACAGAACCCGGTCAGAACGCACAACAGCTGGCTCGCATCATTGCTGCTGCAGTCATGGCAGGCGAGCTTTCTCTCCTCAGCGCACTCGCCGCTGGGCACCTCGTTCGCGCGCATCTTGTCCACAATCGGTCCCAAGTTCCCACACCTGCAGCGTCGCGACCCATCACCCCTGGACCTGAAACACCACCAAGCGTGCAATGGGTACCAGGAACCCCAAACTCCACGTCTGTAACCAAAGCGACTGTGGGGCCCTTAACGGCATCCTCGTCTACAATGTCTCTGGCTGGTTATAGCATCGACCCGAAACCTTAAGAGATGAGGAGTCCTTTGTTTTAGATTCATTACCTTCTCGTTGTATGTCTTCGCATCGTTCCCCTACATTATTACTGCTATACCTATGCGCTCGATTCGCTTGTGGCAGTGTCTTATCCTCATACACCTCATTGCTTTCATCTATCACACAACACGACACGAATACAGTTTGGCTTGCACAGCACTGAAACGCGAGTGATGTTGGTCTTGAAATAAAAATACTTGGGCTGTCTACTTTATGAACGTCACGCGAGCTCGAACATCATTGCCCGCCTAGCTCAATCGGATAGAGCGTCAGACTCTTACGGCGGGATGCATTGCTGCGATCTGAAGGCTGCGAGTTCGACCCTCGCGGTGGGCTAACTTGTAAAACTTTTTTTCCTTCTCCCCAGTCTACCCGAGGATGCTACACTTTTACTAGGTACACTTTGATTGACTCAACCAATGTATTATACCCATAATATCGAGTGACTGTCAGACAGCACGAATCTCAAGTAAGAATCGCAGAGAGAGAGGCCAGGCATCACACTGGGCATCGTTACCAAGCTCCTCACTCACCTTTCTGCTGCATAGAACGCCGGAATCTGTCTAAGAACCCAAAGCTTATCCCACCAACCATCGACCTCGCTTCAAAGCGGCCCTCCGCTCTTTTGTGCTCCTCCACCAGCTTGCATAGCGCACTGAGCGTCGTCCATCGGGGTTCATAGCCCAGACCACCATTCTCCGGTGAAGCCCGGGCGCGTGAATCATCCCAAATGAGGTGTGGCATAGTGAGGGAGAAGAGTGAAGGCTGGAGATTAACGAGGTCCCCGGTAGGGGCCGGTACGAACCGTCCGAGGTGACGTAGGACAGGGCTCGACGACGACACCATCAATGACCGCGCGACGTGCAGCCCTTCGAACACATGGGCAAGCATGAGCATGGTGGTGGCAGATAGGCGAGGGAAGACCGTCCGACCGTCAGTGAGAGTGGCGAGGACGGTATATACGTCACCATATGTGACGGGTGGGCCATCGTCGACGACGCAGAACGCCTGCCCACCGACGTCGGGATTGGGGGAGCCCCGCGCCTGCTCGATCAGGCGCCGCTCGTAGCAGAGATGGGCGAGCGAGGCGTTCTCGACGTAGATGAAGTTCTGGAGGACGTCCTGCGCCCAGGATGGGTTGACCTGCCGCGCGAGATACGCGCCACACAAGATGTCCCCGCCAGGGCCATAGATCCCGTTCCCCGGGCGCAGACACCCTGTACGAAGCGATCGTTGTCGTTGTCGTCGTTGGCCCCGCACCCTCCCAGACCCCGAGGATGCACCATCGGCCGCCCGGACCAGCCGTTCGGCCTTAAGCTTGGACGCGGCGTAGTTAGAGAACATCTCGCCGTGGCGCGTCGGCAGGCGGCTGTCGTCGTCGTCGTCATTGAAGGTCTGTACAATGAACTTGGGCCGCTGCTCCCATGGCCACAGCCAGAGCCGCGTGCGTCGGACAGACACGGAACCACTCGAGGTATAGATGAGGATGCTCGCGCCCGTGGTGCGCGCGGCCGCCAGGACATTGCGCGTACCTTCGACGTTGACCCTGTCGGAAAGATGCAGCAGCCTATGGTCGCGTTCGTAAAAGCGGATGTTAGCCGCGGTGTGAAAGACGGTGATCTCGGCTACTGCGGTAGGGTCCTCAGGTCCGTCGCAGTGGCGGTGATCGTGTGGCGGCCATGGAGCGCTGAAGGCCGCCTGGACCCGCTCCCCGTCGGACACGTCGACCTGGTGGAAGTCGATGTCCTTGGCCAAGCCCGATGTGAGATCAGGACGCGTGGGAGCACGTATGTCGATAACCCGGATCCGTTTGGGATGTTCTCCACGTTCGAGCAGATGTCGAACGATCCAACCGCCGAGAAAGCCAGCCTAGGGGTCTTTTTGAGCGAAGCGGCCACGGTCGCTACTAAAACCTACCCCGCCGACAACAATATACCTTCTCCCTGTTCTCGGGGGAAGGAACGCTTTCGCACTCAGAGTCGCCGTTACCTTCTTCCAGGCCGCTGCTGCCTCCAGGGCGTCTTTTGCGCTGATCCTTTTGGGGGAGAAAGCTGAAGCCACGTCGTGAGGCAGCTGCATGAGCTTCGCATCGTTCAAACGAACGTAAAAATACAGGAAAAGCGCAAAGAAGAGACATAGGACGATAAGCGTGAGACCCATTGCTGTTCTGTCCGGCAACGGGTTCACTCGCATCAGGCTGCTCAACAGGTTCGCCGTAACATATCATTGACGCTCATGTCGTGGCTGCCACGTCCGCGCAGCAAGCGCCACCGCCGACCGCTTCTGTTCGAGTAATAGGAAACCAGATCCATAATATATTGAAGACGCCCACAATGGCACAAGCACATGTACAGATTGGGTCTACAGATTTGCGCATGTATCGACCGCAGGTGCTCAAGCAGGAGGCGGTGGTGGTGGCGCTGGCTCACTGGGAGGTGGAGCAGGAGCCGCCGCCCCCGGTCCACCAGCCCCCGCAGCAGAGGTATCGGTGCCAGGACCTGTATATCCCTGGGACGCGTAGTATTGGTTGTATTGCGCCATTTGGCCCGCCTGCCACTCTTTAAATTCGGGCGAGTTAACATCGTAGCCGTATGCAGCCCTGTCCTACAACGTCAGCGGGGCCATCCTCCATTTCAGAGTTGAGTGAAACCGCGTATACCAATATGCAGTGTAGGCGTCCAAATCGGTAGGCGCTGGTGCTGCAGAAGAAGTGCTAGCTCCGGCGGCGCCTCCATCGCCGGGGGGCGGTGGTGGTTGTTCGCCGGGTGGCGGTGGCGGTGGAGCTGCTGATGGGGGAGGCGGAGCATAGCCCTTGAACGGGAGCAGGTGCGTCAGGAACAACGGAAGGAACATTTGAGGAGCCGTATGGACAGAAGATAACCCACAGGCATCACACCGTAAGAGGCATACTGCATCTGGGCTTGGTGGAGCTCCATCTGTTGTTGGTGCATTATGGCCTTGACCTTCGCGTATTCTCCTCGGACAACCTCGAGGAGGTCATCGGTTAACACTTTTGCACGTGCAACTTGGCCCTCTTCTGGCCCACTGGAAGAGACGTCAGAACTGCTCAGGAATGTCACGGCGGAACACACGTTATGTGGATATGCATAGGCTCATCGGACTCTTTCCCCGTTTCCTGATCAACGAAACCCGATCCCTGACCTTTGATCTGCACGCGGGTCCCCGTTTCTTGTTGAATATACTTGACGAACATGCCCTACAGACGGGTCGTCGTGAGTTGTCGTCTCGTCGAAGCTACCAAGAACCTACAGTAGGGCCGACGACTTTGGCGCGCACGTTGAAATTGCGAATGGATTCCAGGCCAATGAAGATTTTCTCCTCGGGCCATTTACGCTGTGGGAGGAAGGTCAGCGTGCACATCCTTCTGTCACTTAAAAAGTAAGAGCACCTTCTCGCGCCGACCCTTTTCCTCTACAAGAGAGCCCATGTCAATGGCGATGAGCTCATTGACTTTGTCCATGGCACTCTGCAACATTTCTTTTGTATTCGCGGATATGTGGAGGTACAATGGGGGGTCCTTCTCCGTAGCCTTCGAACGGTCTGGGTACCATACGCCTTTAGTGCTGACAGAGGCACCCGTTTCTTCGTGAATCTAGCAGGGTGTTCCCAAACGATTCATGAGGTCCATCCGCGAACTAAGAGGTGAGAGGGAAACGTACCTGTTGTTGGGTAGAACCTCTGGTCAACATATACCGATTTCTTACATCGTTGATGTCGATGTCTTGGGTGAACTCTCCGTCGTGTATATCCTTGGGACCGAGTAGTCCAGCCCCTCCCCCTGCAGCAGCGCCACTATATTGAGCAGCAATTTTGGCTGCAATGGCTGCGGCCGCAGCGGCAGCGGTAGAGGCATTCTTGCCATCGTCCACTTTGGCAAGTTTTGCTGGAGATTCAGGCTCGTCTTTTAACTCTTCTGGTGCGGCCTGGTCCCATTTTCGTTTGGAGGACATCACGGTAGAATGAGCGAGTCGTACTCGACGTGGAGCGTGACCCAAAAATGTATTATATAATCCACTACAAGTCCCAGTACTCACACTAATGTTAAACACAATCCCAGTACTACAAGCACATAATGGAATCATACAACCTCTACAAAATTAGCCGGAAATGACCCCTCTTGTCCATCGAGCTTACCTTTCCACCTAAGTGAATGGAGATCAGCACACCTTTGGGAGCATGTCACGAAACCCTCACCATGTATCTGTAGTGTCACTCTTCTCTGTAATGGTGATGACCTGGCCTTTCAAAAAGGACAAATCTCCGGGTTCAACAGCGCGGAAATCGAATAGCGCGATCGCACGAGCGACGCCCTCCCCCTGTGCAAGTGGCCGACTCAGAATGCGATCACGCTCAGCCTCACGTTGACGTGCAGCAGCAGCTTCCACACTCCGAGCTCCCGGTCCGAACGGATTAACCTCATCCTCAAGCGTCGGCCCGAACGGGGTTGCGATGTCGTAGCCATCGCTTTCGCGCTCTGCTTTCGAGTAGAATGGATTCGTGGTACTCGTGGTACTACTCGAAGACCGGGCATGTGTAGATTTCTGGCCGGTGCGGGGACTGCTACCAGTAGAAAGATCAAGCGACTGACCGGCGGTGTGCCGCACATGTGGGCGTACGGCGGGAGAAAAGTCGCTTTCGAAACGGGTCTCAAAAGCAGGCGGATCATCGATTCGGGGAGCACGGTCGTAGTCCCAAGCTGAACCAGAAACAGCCTCCTCCGAAGGAGGGCCGAAATAGCTTCCCGTGTTCTTGAATGTGCCCCAAGAATCGGGCGGGAAGCTGTCAGCATTGCGGGTCTTGCGTTGTTTGCGCGAAGATTGCGGCACTTCGGGATTGGAGCTCGAAATTCCACCAAACGCGTACTGCGAGTCAGGCGAGGGTCGGCCATCTTGCACCCATGAACGTCCACCGGGTGGGCTAGTACGTGCTTCTAGTGTACGGATAAGGGGCTGTGCCCACTCCGGTGGTGTGACGCTGCCGCTAAGAATTTGCTTAGCACTGACGTCTGAGCGGTATGCTTGGGCATTCGCGTCCTGTCGCTCAACTATCACGGAGCCTTCCACAGAGACGCCACCAAAGAGGCCGCGAGTTTTCGAGTAACTGTACCTGAAATGACGTCGATACAAGATTTCAGAGGGGCAATGAGGATAGGGTACGAACATCGCAGCAACCTTGCCACTTGTACTTAGAGCGGTCGAGGCCTCCCCATTACGGCCTAGAGGACCGACAGCCAGGCTCATGTTACCACCGAGAGTCAGTGAACCCGCAGCCATGAACGACCTCTGGTAACGTTAGCGCACTGGACATCGCCAGCA